AGAACTCACAGGAACCAATCATGGTGATGCTGAAGCGCGTGTCACTCAGCCACCACAATGAGGACAGCATTACGTCCCCTCCTAGAAACGATGAAATTAAAAATAGTTGGAACCACCTCACGTGGTTTGAAGTCCCTACGCGTTGCGTAGGGACATGTAGATAAATGCATGGAACCAGGGCCCTCTCGTCCTCTGGAGTGAGCTTGAGAAGAACAAGGAGAGGTTGCATCTTGCCAAACGTTTGGCTTTTTGATCTGAAAGCGTGGTTTGTCTGCGTGAGAAGTTGTACTGACCAAGCTCAGGCTCTTTCATCTAGCCGTCCAGCTCAGTCGCTCTTCTTGTCGGAAACCGACTCGTGCCTGCCAGGAGTCGGACATCTGAGGCGCGTGAGACCCTTTGGATCTGGCTCTTGTGGGAACCCTGGGGCAAATCTCACCATCTCACCCCCAAATCAGCGGTAGACCAGCAATGATATGGCCATGGGTCAAAATTCCGGCTACCCCCCAGTGAACATCCCAATCCCCACTAAAATAAACTGAAATAGGTGGTGCACCTACCCCTAAAGTAGACAAGCTATTTTTTGGGGGGTTCTCCGTTGCAATGACTGTGCTGCACGGCGCCCAGCGATACGCGAGCAGTCTAGCAATGATCTTGACTCAGCTCAGTGAGCTAAGTGGGTTTGTGCCAGCGGGGGGGGCAGTGGGCAACTCTCAGCACGGCGCCCACGCAGGAGCTCTAGCAGGAAGCGCTTCCTGGAGCTTGAGGCAAAAGTTGCCGATACGTGATACGAGCAACTAGGCAACTGATTTTGCATGCAACCTTTTGGTTGGCGTAGCCTGAGCTGACTGATGGAATTTACCAAACGGCTGCAAGTAAGATGCAAAGATTCCACCTGGTATCCTACTGTGGATGGACGAGATACGGGCGTGCCTTTTTTTCGGGGGCATCCCTTTTGGGAAAACACCCAACAAAATGGGAGGTGAGCAAACAAGTTATGACCTTGTGGCCACTTCCTATTGAACCATGACGTGTCAAAGGCAATTGCGCAAGACGGGCTCCGTTTTCCGCTTCCGGCATCCCTTTGGGATCGCAGAGTTTTGCATCCGCCCGTTGAAATGACATAAGGTGTAAAAGAGCCTTAGTGGGACAAGAACGCGTGGCTCAGCACTTCTTGTGCAGAGAAGCGCTCAGCGGCAGGCACAATCCTGGGAAGATCCCCTGAAAGAGAACGCATTTTGAAGATTGACAAGGAAGTTGCGAAAAAAAAACAAAAGACTCCCTGCAAGAAGCGCGATGACTGTTTTGCTGGTTTTAGATGAAGGAAAAAAAACATGTTAAGTGAATGGTAAGAGAAAGGCTTCCTGAAGCCTCAAACTACCTCCATTTGCTTGAGCCCCCTGAAAAAAGTAGCAAATTTCCAGTAGTGAAATCGATTCCCTCCAAGACCAACAGGATAAAATACTTAAACATCAACAAAAACAGAATGTTTCCAGCAGTGACATCGATTCCCTTCGAGACCAACAGGAGAAAATAAACAAAAAGCTTAAGCAAATGGAAACAGACTACAAAAAGAAAGGAAGATATGATTTCGATCTCCGGCGGTGCGTCATGCGCTGGATAAGGTCCATGGCTTCTTCGGGCGCATCCTCCCAAGCATCGGCCGGCTCGAAGCTCCAGTGGCCCTTCTTAACCTCGCAAGGCCGTGGCCGAGTCTGCAGGGTCCAGTAACATGGCGCCCAACCAACTCCTAAGTAAAGAAAAAGGCGAAAACAAAACCTGGGACCCGACTTGTGCAGAAATGTTCACCCAACTGTTGACTTCCCCCCGTGTCTTTCCGCATTTGGACATTTAAGGTCCTTGTTTCCGGGACAACTCACCTTGTAAGCAAAAACAAATTAAGCAGCTAAACCAACGTGGGGACTTGTGCAAACTTCCCCCAAGCCCAGAATGGCTCGAAAGGAAGCCAAACAAATCAGAGCCCCTGTGGGAAGCCGTTGTTGCGAGGGCCGTTGTTGATTCTGCATCTTGTTGGGAGATCTACAGGTCCCCGACCCCCTCTGTCACAAGACTCTCAGCAAGGCTCACCTGCCTGACTATGCCTTCCACAGAATTGCCTGCGTCACTGCTGACCATAGGTGGCCTCTTGGAAGAATAGATGGTTTTCCCTGGTAAATGGACGAAACCCGTTCTAAACCAGTGGGACTCATCTATTTTGAATCGAACTCACCACTCAGTCACGATGGAGCCGTGGCTATGCTCGCTTCAGGACGTCGCCTGCTTCAGGACGTCGAAGTCGCTATCCCCTATGAAGGGCGGATGTCCAGAGAACATGATGTAGAAAACCACGCCCAAAGACCAAATATCCACCTTTTCCGTGTAGGCCTCCATCTTTCTCGTCAAGATCTCCTTCGCCACGTAGGTGGGCGTGCCTTTGTTGCTTTCCATCGGGGGATGGGGAGCCATACTCAGTTCTTCCGTGACCCTGAAAGCACAACGGGCTCCTGTTTCGGGTTGACCGTTGCAGGCCACCTCCAGGTAGACAGGAAAGGGAACAAGGCTTCGCCAATCCACTGGCTATTCTCGAATCAGGGACAAGGTTCGTGTTCTCGTCAGGTTTTTGTTACTACTGGGAGACTTGGGAAAAGCGGATAAATCACGGAGATCACTTCTCGGGAAGGAGCAGATCTTGGTCATCAAGATGTGGCCGTTGCCATACTCCTGCATTCTGAATTCTGATCCGAGCCCAGCTGACCCAAGACGTGAGTTTAAATAGCTTCCCCTTACCCAACCAACCGCAATGAAATCCGCACGAACATGGCCCAACAAAATGATTTGTTCAACAACCCAAAGAAAATAATCCTTTGACACATGGCCCTAAATAAGTATGGGCCAAAATGAAACCACCAGGATATGGACCGCAGGTTTTAGTCCTTGGTTCCGCTTTGGGTACCGATTTTTGACCCACACCCGCCATTTGGCAGCCATTTGGCACCCAAAATCTCCCACAAGGTCAGGTTCGCCCGCCCAAAGCCCTTTTTCTTGACCAACAGAGCCAAATGTTGAACTCACTCCGCCGTCTTGTTCTCCGCGCACCAAAAAAAAAACACACGTTGGTCTTTCTCTCCGACCGATCGGATGGATCGGCTCCTTGGCGGTGGTAAAATCGATGAGCCGCACGGTGGCCTGCTCGATGGGGGCGTCCAGCTCCGCCAGTAGGAAGTTCTCCAACTGGATGTCTCCTGAGGGCTAATGGCCCATCTTAAGCCACCAGCCGGCTTTCCTCTTTTTTTTCTCCCTCTTTCTGGGGGGAATTGTCCATTTCAGGTGTTTTGGGGGGTGTCCATTCTAGGGTTTAGGTTTACCTTCTTTTTTTTTGGGGGGGGTTTAAAGGGGGAACAAACCTTTCTACAAGAAAGGGGAAAAAAGGGTAATCAACCAACCGGTCTTTTGTAGGGGGGTGTCCCTTTCTGGGTTTAGTGGTCGGAATCAGACCACATTTGAAGGGGCCAAAACCCACCCCTCTACCTCTGCCTAGGTAGGCAAAAAAATGACACCTCATCCTTAGGTAAGAAAAACACAAACAAATGCCACCTCACATCCTCTTATCTTTCGGAAAAAAAGAAGGTGCCGTTCAAATCCAACAACTCCGCCCCGGTGTCGTACTGACAGCTGCCGATTCATGGCAGCCACTAAAGAAGAACAGAACCAGAGACGCAACAAACCCAACTCATGCCAGGGACAACGAGATGAGTTGGGACCTCGCAATTGTCCAGACAGTTAAGGGGCCAAAGGTCATGCCAGCCAAGTCTCTGTGGGAGATCTTGTGGTCATGGAGGCAAGCCACCGCTTGAGCCAGCTGACGCAGGATCCGGGGTTCTCTCATCACCTGGCCCTCCACGCAGATCACATCATAAAGTCGGCCTCCTTGACAAAGCTCCAGGACCACAAAGACTTGGGTCTCGCTCTCAAAGGTCTCGAAGAGGCGACAAACATTGGGATGTCTTAAGTTCCGCATCAGTTGGATCTCTTCCCACATGCCGGCCTCATCGGTCTTGGGCTCTATCTTGATGGCCACTGACACGCTCGTCTGCAGATGAAAGCCGGCCCAAACCGAGCTAGTGTCTCCCTCTCCCAAATGCTCGAGAATCTCCTTAGTTCACCGGAAAAGGGGAAAGAGAGGTGTGTCGATGTCCAGGCGTCCAGGCTTGTTTCTCGTTGCCGGTGTTAGGACAAAAGCCCCCCCGTCTTCTTTCGTTGTTGGAAAGAGGATGCAGGCAAGAAGTATGTCGGGGAAAACTAAGAAAAGACCCTGGCTTCCTGTAGGGAAAGACAACAAAAGTATGGTCCTGAAAGGGCACGAGTGCCCATAGAAGCGGGGGGGGGGAGGGGGGAGGCGCCTGGTAACCATTTAAACCGTCAGACCCTGGTTTCCAACGCAGGCGCTTTCACCACCTGCTTCAACATGTCGCGGATTTTCTCTCGCATGAGCGGCTTTCCACAAACTCAGCTTCCCTCTAGTTGGCTGGGGCTTGTTTCCCAGTTACCCACAAGAACTACGGCTTCAGATCACAAAAGCACGCCAAGCCAAGCCAACCAGGGGTCACCTGAAAAACCCGCCACTAGGCCCTCCAGTAGAGAGCTTAGAATAAGTTGGTACCAACTTTTTTCTACTTAGTCCATTTTAGGGTTTTTTTTCCACCCAAAACAGCTGTGAAGCCGGGGGACCAACCGGCCAAGTCATCCAATAAGGGTATCCTTTTTTCTGTAGTGAATTGTAGGGGAACCCTTCCAACCAAAACAGGAAAGCTCGGGGACCAAGTCATCCAAGTCGCATAAATCCCCTTGGGATGTCCCACGGTGTGCCGCGGTCTCTTCATGACTTCGGTGCCCCAGGTGGCCGAGATGGTGCCGAAGGCCGATCTGCCGCTCATGCAGGAGGCGGTGCCGTCCTCCTCACACCGGGGAAAACATATATATATATAAATATATATATACATATATAGGAATATAGATACATATAATACATAGGAATATATATATATATATATAAATGTATCCATATATATATATACACACATACATACATATATATATATATATATATGCATATATGATCTGCTCCCCTGCTAAAAGCGAATAACTTTTAGTGGTTTAATTCGGAAAACCCAATGAGTTGGCAAAAAATGAAAGTCCTAATCCGTTGGCAAAATGCAACAAAGGAAATACTTGAAACCGGTAGTTGAGTTTCAAGGTGGTTTAAGGTTCCTTAGTGTCCCTTAGTGTCCTTAGTGTCCTTTCATAGGTTTGAAAGGGTTCAAGGGGGGCAAGCGACGAACACCTAGATGGTGGTTTGAATTGGGTGGTTTGAAAGGATGTCAGCCAACTGAAAACCAACTATAGGAAGGTACTCCCCTAACCTTCTAAAATAGGAAGGTAGAACATGCCCCACCGGAGGTCTGGAAACATGAGCTCGTTGTTTCTGATGGTGGCCTTTGAAACTGTCCAGAGCCTGGGCCTGGAAAACATGCACATTCGACAAAACGAGGGTTTTTCCAGTAGAGGTTAGAATAAGGCTTCCCGCAAAAAAGGGTAAAAGGGCACCTAGCTGGGGGACCTAGACATGGACAACAAACGAGAAGAACGGGAATATATTGGTTGAACGCCAGGCCGCCTGGACACTAACCCAAAGCAAAGGTGACACGTTCCATGGGCTGGCTGCCCGTGTTCGAAGAAATCCACTAACCCCCCCAACCCCAAAGAAGGTCCCACCTTTGTCCAAAACCAACACCTACCCAGTTTGGTCCTGCTTGTGGAAAAATATTTGCACCCCTTGCTTTAGTTGCTGCCACTCTTCTTGGTTTCGGGACAACTTGGGGACCCTGGCTTCGACCCGTCAAGATAGGACATGGACCGCAGGTTTGGGTCGCTTCCATTTACTAGGGCCCTTGCCATTTTGAGGCCACATTGTTGACCCACACCCAGTACGTGAGAGATAGAGAAGCAAAGAGGCTGACCGTGAGCAAATGCTCGCGCGGCCGCCCCGCACCGGCCGGGCTCTGCTGAACCGGGGGCTGATCTGTTTCTTGGTTGCTGTTGACCCCCTGCAAAAAGCTTAACTTTTTGAGGGTTCAGTGGAAAACCCCCTTGATTTCCCGAAAAGTTAAAGCCTACAGATCCAACCCAATAGCAGTCGAGTGTTTGGCCCATGGCCCCCTCTCCTCCTTGAGCTCGTCCACCTCCGCAGGCTCCGTGGCCGCAAAAAGGAGCTCCTCATCCCCCGTGGGGTGGGAGTCGGAAAGGGATGGGGGGGTGATCGATTCAACAACCAAATCAATCAAATCAAACAAGCAATCGTTCAATTCAATTCTCAAGGCAATTCAATTCAATTCGATTCGACCAATGAATCAATGAATCAATGAATCAATGAAATGACATGAAATGAAATGAAATAAAAATCCAATCCAATCCAATCCAATCCAATCCAATCCAATCCATCAATCAATCAATCAATCAATCAATCAAACAATCAATCAATCAAATCAAATCAAATCAAATAAAATCAAATCAAATCAATCAATCAATCAATCAATCAGTCAGTTAATTAATCAACCAAACAATCAATCATGCAAATTAATCGATCAGTCAGTCAGAAGCAAATCAATCAAGCAAGCAACCAACCAATCAATCAATCGAGCAGGCAGGCCAGCAAAGCAAGCAATGAAGCAAGCAATGAAGCAAGCAATGAAGCAAGCAATGAAGCAAGCAATCAACCCAACCAACCAACCAACCAACCAACCAACCAACCAACCAACCAACCAACCAACCAACCAAGCAAGCAAGCAAGCAAGCAAGCAAGAAAGAGAGCAAGCAAGAAAGCAAGCAAGCAAGCAACGCAAGCAGAGCAAAGTTAGCAAAGCAAGCAGAGCAAAGCAAGCAAGCAAGCCAAGCAAGCATGCAAGCAAGCAAGCAAACGAAGCAGGCAAGCAAGCAATGAATGATTCAACCATTTCTCGCGTCTTCCACCCACAACACCAGCTTCTGATTGCTCTTTAGTAGTTGGACCCCGAGCCTGCTGTTTTCATCTCCATTTTGCGTGGCGGTTGGCCTAACAAACAGGTTGGGCGTCAACAACAACATCCCAGCTTCATTTTCCAGTGGAATGTGGAAAGTGCCCCCTCGAAACAAATGAGACCAACAAATGAGACCACGTCCCATGCGGAGGAAGGGGGGAGCACGTCTGAAGCCCGGCAGGCTCCTCGATTTGGCCCAGGCGGTCCGCCAGCATGGTGCCGATAAACCGGCCCTTGCGGTTGGAGACGCTGGCCAGCAGCGGTTGGCCCGGCTTGATCCAACCCTTCCAGTTGTTCTCCCCCTCGTAGGGCCTCAACTTTTTTGCCCACAGCCCTGGCTCACTTTGGGAAGTCTCGACTTTGCGTCTTAGACATGTCAAAATGCCAATCCTAGGTTTGGGGCGGATTCCGTTTTGGGGAGTCCGGCGAGGTTTTGGGACTTGGAGTTCTTTTCTGGACAAATGGGCGGGGTTAGGCCGGAGCAAGCCTATACCTCCCAAGTGCACCGATTGCAAGGCTTGGAGTTCGATGTACCGTTCTGCCTTGTGCGTCTCCCGTAAACAAATGTCTGAGGGCAAACTAGGAACAACGCGTCAGCCCAGACTGCCAATGATCGTGGGAAACAGCATGTTTGGCAGACTCTCTTGCTGGTGCTCAGTAGGGAAGGAGGGAATGAGCCTGGGAATCCCCTTAGCGGACACCAAATCGGGGATGGTTTGTAGCGGTCGTTCCATTTCTCAGGCCCTGCCGATTCCGCAGCGAGTTTTCTGGTAGACGATTTCAATCGCTTTCCCCCGCCCAAGCAGTCAGCCCAGGTGAAGCCAGTGGAGAGGTTAGAAGAAGTTGGTACCAACCTTTTTTCTGCAGTCCACTTGAGTGGGGGAAATTCCCCCCCCCCCCCCAAAAAAAAAGGTATAGTCAATTTTCCCCCAACCAAAAAAAAAGGTAAACGGGCACTACTGGGGGAACCCTCAACCAAAACAGGGGTGAGAGGTCGGGCACCAATTGCTGGGGGACTGCACCCTTCAAGCCCAAAGCCGCTGGAGACCCCAATAGCTGTCAGGCGAACAAGAACCTGCCCCGCGAGGCATATTTCTCGAGAATGGTCTGGATTGGCTGTGGATTTATCCCTGTGGGACATTAAAAGTAACAACAAGAAGCGCATCCAAACCTGGGCCGCCCGATTTCAGGTCCCCTGCTAAAAGTTTAACTTTTAGTGGGTTAAATGGAAACGACCACTAAACACTAACAAGCTAAAAGGTGAAGGGGATGGCTGGGAGCCAGCATTGTCTAGAATATTACCAGACCTACCCAAGGCAATGTTTGAGAAAAGGTCTGGGTCGCTAAGCGATTCCCAGCGGCGTGTTCACATCCGCGCGGAACTCCAGAAGCACTTCCACCAGTTCAGGGCGATTCTCGCCCACCACCACCACCAAGGGTCTAGGCAGGTCCTCGCCACGTGGAGACCGTTGGGTTGAATCTTTCGGGCCAAGCCCTTGTTTAAACCATGGTTTCAAACCATCAAACTATCACCACAGTGTAAAAACAGGCTCCTTTGGTTGGCCTGTGAAGTGGCTTAAGCCATAGCTTCATAGCTTCAACGCCTGTGGACAACATCCCGCAGCAGTTGGTAGATGCTTTATCCCAGTATTCAAAACGAGCTTCAGCCATCCCAACTAGTGCCTGGCGTGGATTTTGTCCATCCTCCCACCCCCCCCCTCACCCCGCCCGCCCCGACACCCCCACCTGGCCCCTTGGTCTACCAACTCTTGCCACCAACCCCTCCTCGCTGAGTGGAGCTTCCAGCCACGTGAACGGATCCTCCAAGCCCAGAAGGATCTGCCGAACCTGGTTGGGATCCACCTTCTTTTGGGTGAGCACCTGGATGGCCGCCGCCCCCCCCCCCCCCCCGTCTTTTTTGTGAGCCTCGGTACCCCCGTTTTTGGGTGGTTTTAAAGGGAAAGCCAAAGGAACATCGAGGCCATTTGTTTTTGTGGGGGGGTCTCCTAAAAATAAGAAACACCCAAGTGAGAATGTACAAAAGGCGATCTTTAAGGAACATCTGGACATCACAAGTCAACGTTTTGGGACCTCGACTCAAAGTGGTTTCCAAACAAACACCTGAACAAACAAGACAAAAACCATCCGGTGCAGGGAGCAATGTCACATAGCTGAAACAATCCGGAAAAAGGGAAACAATGGACATTCAAAAGACCACCTCGGAGAACAAGACAACGAAACAAACACACCAGCACAACTGTTTAACAGGACGAAAGCCGAACAAGTCTTGACACGATTCGGACCGAGGTGTCTCACACAAATCGACTCCGAAAGCCTTTTATAGTAAAACAAGTCGGACCCCACCGCTGTTTAAAACAAACAAAACATCAACTTAAACCAGTCCGACCGCTCGTGAAAAAGGAAAACACATCGACTCCGATCCGTGAGTCGACTCGAGAATGGAGGAAAGAAACAAACAAAACAACAAGACGACTCCGACCTCCGATCTCCGACTCGAGAGAAAAGAAGAAGAAAAACAAAGGAAAAAGAAAAAAGCGAAGCACAAGTCGACCCCGATCTCATCGAATGCGATAGCGAAGGAACCCCCAGGAGCGGATGCTCCACTTCTGAGACCCCGGAGACCCCGGAGACTCTGGACTCCTTGGTGGCCTTCCGTGAGGCTTCCCGTTCCTCGGGAGGAGACATGGCGGGGAAAACCCAACAGGTGGCTCGGCTTTCTCGAGGCTTCTCCGGGCTTTGGTTTGGTGGGTTTGAAGGGAAACCACCATTCTTGCCAGTATTCTATCTTTTCATCTTCCTTTATTTTGTTTGATAGTTGGATGGTCTCTTTTCTCTTTTCATATCTTATCCCTTTATCACTTTTGGTTGAGTTTGGAGAGTTTGGTGTAGGAAGAAGAACTTAGGACCTAGGAAGATAAAACGGGTGTCTCGGTTTTCTCGAGGCTCAACCGGGCTTTTTTTTTTTTTTTAATGGGAAACCAGGAGGAACACCGAAGCCAGTTTGGGGGAGGGGGGGGCGTCCCCCCACAAAAAAAGGCGCACCCTCACTTCACAAGCAAGTGCTTTTGGTTTTGAGGAGAGCATGCAGGGGAAAAATAAGTCGACTTGTTGGTGGTTTCAAGGGAACATGAAGAGGGTTCTCGCGGGCAAACAGCTAGGTACTCCTCAAATTCAAATGTGGAACCTGAAACGGGGGACCGACCCCAGATTCACAGGGATCCCGCCAGAAATGCTGCTTCCATGTTAACCCGGGGTTCATGTCTGGCAATGGTTCTTAGACAGGGCTGTGGGATACTGAAAGAAACAACTAGCGTCAATACGGGTATGTGCCGTTGCACAATGCGGGGGCCCGCGAAAATGGCGGTTTTCTTGCAGGTGTCCCTTTAAACCAACCTTAAAAAAGGGTACAGTTGGCCCCTGGTATTCATTCTGGCAATGGTTCCCCCTCGCTCTTCGAGGTCTCCATGCAGATGTCCACGTCGTCCTCCTCCTCGTCTAGCTCGTCCGGCGCCATTTGAATCACAAAGGCGCTCTGCCGCCGAACCCTCGCCTAAGCCAAGCAGGATACATTGGCAGTTCACCTAAAGTTCTTTCCAGCTCAAAGGATAAATTAGTAAACTAAAAAAACACCTACTAAATCCTGAGTAAATTAGATCTACTAAATCAATCTTGCAAGTTGCCCCCAAGCCATCAAATCTATAGTATCTTTACCCATTAGATCAAATACCCTCCCACCGATTCACATGGAACCTGACGTTCCGGGGGTCCCTTTAAAAGGACAATGGTCTTCCAGGACCAGTCAGGTTTTATGTTGATTGGTTTGTTCATCTTTGATGTTTGTAAACACGATCAAATTCAATTTTAGGTCCACCCCTTGACCAAATTTTTGTACTTTCAGATTCTGCTGCATATTTCGCCAACCTTAAGGCATCAAAAAACGTACAGGAGACCCAAGTCGCATCCAAGCTCACGTTCGAAAACCTCCGCAGCTGAGCACTGACCTAAGCTCGGCACGCTATGCCTCCCGCCCAAGTGCCAAAAGACAACGATTTCTCTTCCCACCTTGGCACACACACACGCGCACACACACACACACACACATTAGTGGTGAAAACACCGCAGAACCGTAGTTGAAAGCCGGCCAGGTCCCAATTTTCAGGGGTTTGGAAGTGTGGCTTGTGGATTTGAAGCCATGGTTGCCGTAGAGGGTCAATGGGAAACCTGCCCCTCTCCAAACCGCCGATCCAAACCAACACTCAAGGGCTGAATGTATACGTCCATGTATAAGCCCCTTGTATGAACCGCTAGTTCATGGATTAATTCAGCACCAATGATGGGGCATCAGCCCATCCTTGGGTCCAAAATGGCCACGGGTTCATATACCTCTATATGCTAACCCCCCCCCATGGACCTTGGTTTTACTGCTTTTTGGGGATGGCAAATCTAGAATCTCAAAATGTATATTCTCGAAATGTCCAATTGTGGGTCCCCGAAGCCTGATTTGGAGCCTGGAGTTCTCCATGATGTCCCAATATAATACGCTTTCCAAATAGGATTTTACTTCAACTACAATTGGAATGTTGAATATAGTTTAGTAGGGATATAGTTTTCCAACATGTGTTTATGTTCAATTACAGCTTAGATATGCAAAGCCTTTCCAAATAGGAGCTACATGAAAATGTGAATATAGTTTCGGGTAAACTCCAACTAATCTTTAACAAAAGAAGTTGGATAGGAGTTGCTTCTCAAATGCAATCTAAGTGTTAAATATGATCTAATACGAACACAATTCAACTAGCGTTTGATAAAAACAATTAAACCAGACTACTTCTCAAGTAGAATTCATACTAAATATGGTGGCCCTTTTGTAGCATAAGAAAGGTCCGACATTGAACTTGTTAGACGGTCTAAACGGAAATTTCAAGGGAAGAGAGGTTCAAATTCTAAGACTATCTCGCAACAGGGATTCTAGCTAAATCAGTTGTATTTAAAGTTCTATTTGCACAGGAAACACAATTCATTATATCTCAAAAGGTGGAGGTAGTAGATCCGCAAATGGATAGGTAGTTCAAGAGGGGGGGGGGTGACGGTGTGTGAATGTACATACATATGTACATCTATATATGCACATACATACACATACATATAGTACCCCTAATCATCCTGGGCCCCTTTATAAAATACTGGAAAATACAGTGTTTTTGAGCATTACACCTACCTTAATTTACCTCCTGGAAAAGGGTCAACATGAGCATAGCTGTCATGAAGCTCACCAAAGCACTTGAAAGTTTGCCAACCAATAACTTGAAGGTGTTTCCACTGGATCGCTAAGCACTTGAAAGTATTCTACCGCTGCACGGAAGATTCAAGATGGAAGATATGGAAGATTACACAGAACACTTTCCTGAGAATTGTCAATGCTGGACAAACCCAAACGACATTCAAGTTAATTAATCTAGCACTTGAAAGTGCTTCACCACTGGATTCAATATTGAGGAGTGCAGAAACAACAACTTTCCCGAAAACCATCCATCCTGGTCAATCCCTGAAAATGTTCAAGTTGTTCTAACACCTCGAACGAATTTTACCACTGGATTGAAGATTCGAGATTGAAATATATCACGGAAAACTCTTCCGATAATCTTATTGAACACCGGGAGTATTGAAAGGACCCTGGAATTTGTTTAAACCAAATCCTGGATTCAAGATTCAAGATTCCCAGAAAATATTCTCTCAGATTCTTGAATCTTGAATATTGAACCCAAAATTTCTTTAAAACAAAATCTGGGATTCAAGATTCAAGATTTCCAGAAGATATTTTCTCTGATTCTTGAATCTTGAATCCAGGATTTGTTTTATTCGTTTTAATGAGTTGTTCTTGTACTCTTGGATGCATTCAAACTCTTTTAGATTGCAGCTGGAAAATACAGGTCAAACACACCAAACCAGGGTCCATGGGGGCGGGGTACCATATACACACATATATATATATGTGTGTGTATATATGGATTTATACACACTGCCCAAGGGAAACACGTGGGAAGCTGGCCATGTTCTGCCAGGCCACCGTCAAGGAATCCAGATCAAACTCCTGGTCTTCATTCGCAGCATCGAAGGCCGAGGTGGTGCGACCTCTCGTCTGGGAGTAGGAGGTCCGTGAAGCCTCACCGGCTGCGAACCGAACGACCGGGTTCCGGGGAGCCGAAAGGTGAGGCACCTTAAAGCCATGGCAACGCCCCGCGTTCGTTTTCCCTGGTCCCACCACCCACCAAAAGTGGTTAAGCACAAAACCTCTTGGTCCTTTGGCATCCTAAGCCACCAAAACTGTTGAAACAAACTGCTGCTTGGTTTCTTGAACTCTGGTTTTTGAACCACACAGTTTAAACAAACTCCTCTTGGTTTCCTGAAACAACCTCTTTTTGGTTGCGAAAACCACCAAACTGTTTAAACAACCTCCTTTACCCTTTGGCATCCTAAACCACAAAAACCGTTCTAACAACCTCCATGTTTGGCTTCTTCAGCCACACACTGTTGAAACAACCTCCCCTTGGGATTCCCAAACCATTTTAGCAACCTCCCCTTTGGCATGCTGAACCACCAAACTGTTTAAACAACCTCCCCTTTGGTTTCCCGCACCAACAACAAGTTTTAACAAGCACCTTTGGTTTCCTACGCAGCCGAACTTTTTAAATAGCCCCTACGTTGTTTTGAAAGAAACAAACAAATAACCTCTTATGGTTTCCTAAACCAACAAACTGTGTAAATAACCCCGTCTTTGGCTTCCTAGGAGCAACAAATCAGTTTGAACTAGCTCCTCTTTGATTTCCTGAAGTTCCCAGAGGGCTGGGGAAGAACCTTGCCTCAAAGACCGGCTTCCGGACCTCCACGGATGGCTGCGCATCCAGCTTCACCCACAGAAGGTGCTGTTCGGCCTGGCGATACCTGAAATCTTGGGACTCCCTCCGAAAAGTTGGGGTGCCCGGACAAAAGAAAGCAGGGCAGGGGGAGGGGGTTGGGGTGGGGGGGTGGTTGGGTCGGGGGGGTTGGGGTGCGGGGAGGTGGGGGTTGTTGGGGGGTCCCAGCTTTTCGGTAAGGGAAGTCGGGTTTTTGATTGGTGAAAAAGCTTGAAGGTCGTACAAAGCAACCAGGATGCAATAAATCCAGATAGCCCCTCAGGTACTCATTGGATTCCGCCTCGTCTGCCAACAGCCTTCGGGTGTCCATCCGGGAGAGCGACTTGCGCAAGCCCTTCCACCTCCCCTTGCTCTGGCTCCTAGCTTCGTCTTTGCTGACCTGGGACTCTTTTCCGTTGTCCTTTGGCTCACCTTGGTTGACGTTGGAAGGGGAGCAAACATTCTCAAATTTTAGCAGTCGAGTGGTTGGATTTCAACCACTAAACCACAATAAGATCAAAAATGGGAAAACGTGTCCCAACAACAACCATGTGGCTCCTAGCTTCGTCTTTGCTGACCTGCCGGGACTCTTTTCCGTCCTTTGGCTCGCTGTCCTCATCGAGCTGTTTCGGAAGACCTAGGTCTGTGTCAACCCTGGTGTTCTCCGCCTCTTTCTGCCGGTGAGGGGGCAGCCTCAGATCTGCATGACCAAAACACAAATCCACCCCCTTGATGGGCCAACCAAAAAAAGCGGTTGCAAGGTTTGTTTCCCGATCCTTCCTTTTGTTTTTGTTGTTGCGCCGCGTTTCCCGTTTTTTTTCAAGAAAAGGAAGCCTCAACAAACTTTCGGACATTCGGGACATTTCCCAAAACGGGCATACGCGTCCGGGTCGCGAGCCTTTGCGCTCCCCGGAGGGTGGCCTTGGCAGTGGGCCTTGGGCCGGTGCCTCGTCCGACGGAGCCCGGTCCAGCGGCGGCAAGACCCGGGGCTTCGGGGTCAACTCGTTGAGAGCCATGGCGCATGACTCGCGCCTAACGAGCCAAACGCCGCACCGAGCGAGCCACGTTCCCAGTCCAGGCGAAGGCCGATTGGCCGATTTGCGAGAGCCGAGTGTTGTGGAGTGAGCACGTGCGAGAGAAGCCCAAGAAAGACAGCCACAGGCAACATCCGGCTTCTTCAAACCAAACCGCCGCACACCTTCTCTGGCCGACTATGACCTTCGAATGTCCGATTACTTATCATCAGCCGCACTTGGAACCCAGCTTGGAACCCCAAACCACGTGCCTTCCTTCTTCCCATTGTAGCGAGGCACCTACCTGTTAACAAACGATATTGCCCCCGAATTGGCCGAATCGGGACTGGCCGAAAGGTGCAAATGAGCCACCATCAAAAGATGCGGTTCCAAGAAATCATCCATGAGCCCCAACTAGGTCCTCCAGTAGAGAGGTTAGAATAAGGGTACCCTTTCTTCATTTCTTCTGTAGTCTATTTTAGCAGGGGAACCCCCCAAAAAAACTGTAAAAGGGCACTACTAGGAGTACCCTTTCTTCTGTAGTCTATTTTAGAGGAACCCTCCCCCAAGAAAGGGTAGTGGGACCTAGCCAAAGTCTGGAAACTTTGGCCGGTTCGACCGGGCCCCTGATCTTGAACCGATCGACTGGCGGGCTTGCATGGGGATCCCGGCGTTTCCAGCAGCAGGGGCTGGATGGTGCGAGACTGCTCCTCGCAGCCAAAGGTCTCCTGGCTGAGGGAATGTCTACCCTCCCTCCTAACATGGCACCTCACAGAGGGCCCCTTCAGGAGCAAGTTGATCTTCCAGGTACCCTCCAACAAATGCTATGTGAGTGGGAGAGAGGGTAATTCTTGCCCATTTTGGACCCCGTGAAAGGACGTGGCGCAAGTTGGAAGCCGTTTTTTTGGCATTTGTGGGTCTAAGTATTGGCCAAGGCTATCCCTTCAAACTAATCCGGCTGGTTCCCAGCAAGCTTGGACTGCTTGCCCCATGAACTTTGAAGAACCAAAGGGAAACCGCAAGGGGGGGCAAGTTGGGTTGCCTTTGCTTTTTCCGGAAGAAAAGCCCAGGCCAGCGCCATGCCTTTTGCTCCCTCACCCCATGGATGTGGTGTCCGAGCGCCAGTTGCTGCGCCTCCGATACCTCCAAACCTCGGCGCTCCTGGCGGGCTGTCGTGTTTGAAGGCGCGCCCTTCTGCAGCCAACGGAGGCAGTCCATGTAGCCGTCCTGCCGAGACGCCGGAGACGGCCCTCCCGTTTTTCACATGGCAAAAATCAAACTGACCAGGAGGGGCCGGAGGGGACCTGCAGGAAACAAATGATGGAATTTTGGCAACTGAGCAACGACTAAACCAGCCAACAAGCTTTACACATAGCGGTAGGGGAATTGCTAAGCGATAGCAGCGCAGCAGAATGTTTTCATGAAAATCATTTTGTGTGGGAAAGTATGCGAAGGGTTGAGCGAGCGGAAAACAGAAAAGCAATGGTGTGCTTTGTCAAGGTCTGCCGGAAGTGCACGATGATTCCCATTGAAGCTCGGACAGCGCACAGGGCCAAACCTGCGGCCGCATTTGAGGAACCAACTGGGGTTGCCAATTTGAGGCCAGCGACAAGTTGCGTCTTGCCAATGGGGGAAGTTCAACGCCTAAAGCCTACCCCTGTGGGATACTAAAAGAGTACTAAAAGAGTACTAAAAAAGAACCTAAAAAAGGAAGAACAGGTGAAATCCACAAAAGGCGCATCCAAACCGTTTTCTAGAGCAAAAGCTCACCGGAACCGCAGGAAGCGCTCATTCAGTGGGTGAATTGCTGCACCCCTCTGCCTTTCCAAGGAAACCTTCACATATACAAGTGGTGCTTTCTTAGCCAGGTCCATCAAATCCCATAAATGAATGAACAAATAAACAAATGAACAAATGAACAAATAAATCAATATGACGCACGTGTATCTGCATATAAATATATATATATGTATATATATATATATATGTTCGACTGTTGTTCTAGTTGTGCGCTCGTCTTATCTGATCGAGCCCCCCGTCCAGGCTCCTCAAACAAGGACACCGCATCAGCTTCATGTGGCCTTGCTCTCGCTCAAACAACCTGTTGGGATCTGCTGGGGATCTGCTGTGCCAACGTGGGCGTTAAAAACAACTTGGTGCGGAGTCGGCGGGGAATGAGACATGGAATGACCCCGATTAAACCATCCATGGCTTCCTTTAAGGCTTTTTAAGGGAATCCCTGGGTTCATTCCCTCATTGCTGACCACCAGCAAGACAACTCATCATGTCATCTGCACTGTTTACAATCATCATCTCACTGATACCAACACCTGAAATGTGGGATTATCAACTCAAGGACCTGCATCATGGTGATAAGGTACACCGATTTCCTGCGACTGTGCTTTTTCCAGATGGCATCAGATGGCCATCTTCTGGCCATCGTTTGGCTTTTTAGCCACATCTCGCTGAAAAGGGGGCCATCTCGCGCACAAGCAACAAAGCAAGCCGATCACATGGCCCCCACTACCCAAGGCCCAAATAAGAGAACCAAAGATCTCTTGGTTGCAAATGTCTTTTAAGAAGCCTCAACCCACCCACCCCTTTACCCCCCCCTGCTTTGGGCCAAATAGGTGGGAAGCTTCCCGAAAGCCCTGCGGAAGCTTCCGGAAGCCGGGAAAAAGGGGGGGGGATTGGGGATGAAACAAGGGTGGTCCCCCCCTCCCCCCGAAGCTTCCCCAAGGCTTCCGGAAGCTTCCCAAAGGCTTCCGGAAGCTTCCGCAAGGCTTCCGGAAGCTTCCGGAAGCCTTGCGGAAGACTTACGGACTTCTGAAGCTTCGGGGGAGCGGACGGGAAGAGCGGGAGACGGGGAAGGAAGGGGCGCGAGGGGGACGAGCATGAGCGTAATGGTGGGTGTCATTTTCCAGGGCTTGTCGCGCCGCCAGTCAGTGGGGAACCCTTTGGGAGCCAAATACTTTAACAGTGTTTTAACACTCCAATAGCAGTGCTATGGCATGTCTCAAGGGGGGTAAGGGAGGGGGGGCTTTATGCTTTCTTAGGGCTTTATGCTTTCTTAAGTCTTGCCGAAACCAACTCGAAGTGACGAGGAACCATTTGACCCAACCGTTTACGGGATCAACCCGCGGCTTAGTCCAAAATAAGGCCCCAATAGCGGACCCTTGTTTTGGGGAAACAGGGGAAGCGGGATTGCAATATTTTGACAATCTTGGCTGGCCAGGAAGGTCTTTGACCACAAAGCGGGAGGTGCTGAAGCTGCCAACGGGCAAGCATCAGGGTGCATTTTCTTGGCTCCCAAAACCACCTTAACCCATGAGTTGCTTACTGGGTGTAAGTGTTTTTGCAGAGACACACACAAACACACACATACATATATATATATACATACCTATATATATATATACATAAAGCCCCCATCTTCGCCCAGCACCATCCAAATTGAGCCCCCGCACGGGAAGAAGGAGAAGCACTTTGGATACGGTGTCTCTGGGCCAACCTCAGCGAAGCTTTGAGGCACTTTGCTTCAATCGGACCAATACCCAATTTCTTTGGCCGCGCGTGGAAGTTTTTTCGGTCACTAACTGCTTTCCATTTTCGGATCTCCTGCTAAGGCTCTAACTTTTCGTGGGTTAAATGGAAACCCCTCCACCAAACCCTAGAAACCTAAAAACCTAAAGGGATGGCTGGGAACCGCTAAGTCAGGCTTTCATGCCCAAAGCCAGAGAGTGTGGCCGGCGTTAATTATGCACATCCGGCTGGTGTAGATCAGGATGTTAGAATGACCAGTCGCGGCACCGTGTCGCTTGTGCCATGAGAAGCCCAAAGCAGCTTGCTTGATAGGAACGCCCATGCAAACAGTGTACGCTGATGGGAAGCTGCTCAGAGCCTGTTTCAACTGTGTGCGCTCATGACTGAACGCACTCGAGGCAGACCAAGAATCCTCATTCAACTGCGCACGCTCGCGACTGAGCAAGGATCAGATTGCAGAAACTTCTGCCAAAAACGCGGGCTCATGACTGAACAACAAATACCAGAAGCAAGGCAACTGACTGAATAGACGTGTTGCAATCGATAAGCACCTCCTCGCTCAACAGTGCATGGTGATCCATTAACAAGTCATGAGCGTTCCTTACATCCGTGACCGAAAGCACCCTGCGGGAATGAAAAACAACCTCTTTGAACAGTATCCCGCCATTGGTCGTGACACACTGCTGACCCTGTGAAATGGGCTGGGCAGTAGCAAGCCGGCATGATCAGAGGAGGAAAAACCGGGACATGGTGCGATGCTGAGGGCATGCATGCTCGGTGCACAGCAAACACAGGGCAACCTGCGAACAAGGTTGATGATTGTTGGAACTTGCCAAGGGAAACATTGCTGAGTGATACAAAGCACTGGGCAGCAATTGCTCTGCACGGTAGTTGCAATATCCTAGCATTTTGCTGATATATTGAATGGACCGAACAAACTTGTGAACATGCTAGCTATCACTCAGCCAGCGCAAGCACCAGTAAGGCACGAGCGTCAGGAAGGACATTCTCGTACCTCAGACGGAACACTTCTTCAAGCTCGCTCTTTTGAACAGCAGGGAATGCAGGAAAAAGCTGGACGCTGCTTACACACTATTTCTATCTATGTCCGGAAGTGAGGCATGGAGTTCTACCAGGTGGAACCATGGCTTTGGTTTGCCTCTACCAGGCAAGGCCAGCGACTGATACCAAAATTGCTCGGGCGCTACGTGTCGCCACCTCACCCAAGTGCTCGCTAGAGCTACTTTGTGATGCAGCGCTCCGCTGTGCTCGGGGTTTCTGGATGGAATGCATTCCGATCAGCCTCAACTGTCAGACTTAAGCTAGGGTCTGACTTGCTTGCTTGACATTGCTTGACTACTTCCCGCTGCATTCTTCGTGCTTAGGCGAGGATTTCGCAACCATCCGCCGAATCTTCGGGCCGAATCCGTGCCGAATCCCTGCAGTTCAAGGCGCGGGGA